GCACTGCATTTAAGTAGACCAAATACAGGGTTCTACCTCCTGGATTATACACATCTTTACCTGTGCCTACAGCACATTGGATAGATATATCTATAGATTTGGTATTAGGATTGCCTAGGACCAAGAGAGGTAGTGATAATATATTTATCGTCACGGATAAATTTAGTAAAATAACATACTTCATTGCATGTCATAAGACTGATGATGTAACAAATATTGAAAATTTATTTTTCAAGGATCTTGTGAGAATTCATGGCATTCCTAAGACAATTGTGAGTGATAGAGATGTGAAATTCCTTAGTCATTTTTAGAGAGTGTTGTGGGGTAAATTAGAAACTAAGTTGTTATTTTCTACTGCATGTCACCCCCAGACTGATGGGCAGACTGAGGTCATTAATAGAATATTAGGATCCTTGTTGAAAGCTATAGTTGGCCGAAACTTAAAAACATGGGAGGATTATTTGCCTATGGTAGAATTTACATATAATAGGAGCATTCATACAGCTACAGGGTTTTCATCTTTTTGGATTATTTATGGTTTTAATCTTTTAACTCTGTTGGACCTCACATCTATACCTTTGCAGGAAATTCAGGATATCGATGGTCAGCGAATAACAGAACTTGTTAAAGCCATACATGAAACGACCAGGCAGCATATCCAGAAGAAGAATGAATCCTATGCACGACACGTCAATAAAGGAATGAAACGAATAGTGTTTTAACCCGGTAATTAAGTATGAGTTCATATGCAAAAGGAAATATTTCTCAATTAGCGAAAATCGAAGTTAGACCCTCGAAAAGACGGACATTTTCAAGTTCTAGAGCGTATAAATGACAATGCCTACAAACTTGATCTCCCACGTGAATACGGTGTGTCTACAACTTTTAATGTTTCTAACCTTCCCTTTTTTTTATGTAGATTCAGATTCAAGGACGAATCTTTTTGAAGAGAAAGGAAATGATGAGAACATAGACATGGATCAAGTTGGCGGAGATGACATCTTAAAGGCAAGTGGGTCCATTATAAGGGGAGAGCTAAAAGATTACAACAAGTCTTCTAACTTTTTATCCAAGCGTGGATCAATGAGAAAAATGAGTTTTGACCCATTAAAGAAGATAACATAGTCATTAACTCAATGGTATAATAGTATATACCATTCACCCTAAGTACAAAAGTAAAATAAACAAGAAAAAGAAAAAATTCTAGAAGATGTGAAAAAAAATTTCTCATTGAATTTTATTTCTTAATCATGTAGGAAATTTTCACAATTAAAGATCAGCGAAGAGGGAAAATTGCTCCTAAATTACAAGCTATCTTGAGAAAGAGAAAAACTCCTTAAATATTAAATCTTGCAGAAAAAAATATTTAAGAAAGAGAAAATTATCTTGGCAGAATCTTTTCCCCTAAATCAGCCACAATTAATTAAGATATTCTTTATTTAAAAAGTTTTCCTCATAAGAAAATCATATTTATCTTATTTTAGTTGTAATTTTTTTTTAATTTTTGCTAGTTTTTCATTCTAGTATAGATTTAATTTCCTATGTAGTTTTTACCATTAATTAGGAAATTATTTTTTCGTTATTCATCGCATGACCTACATTATAAATAA